TATGCCGTACTCATGACGTGAAGTTATTAGTGTAATACCGGATCAGGTCCAGCTGGAGCTCGGATGCTCTGACTACCTTAACTAGGTAGGCGTGGTATGATGGAGAGAGATGAGACAGAGTCACAATTAACATTGGTCTCCAACTCTTACTCACGGTTATTCTCGTCAAGCCTCGGACATACATTGTGGTCCTTTGTTAGTGTTTGGTACTTGTCTACAGTGGATAACGTTAACCTTTACATCCATAGCTGTGAGACATGAGCTTTCCCCATCTCGTTCCCCCGCGTTGGAGGTGGAGTTTGGGCTCTCACGGCGTCCTTGGACGGATGAAGACGGCATGAAAAACACAGTCATCGAGTTTGAATGGTGTCGTTAAGTGGGAATCGCTGCATGTTGTGTTGCAAGAGGCGAATTAAGGCGTCAACTATCACCATCGCCAGTCACTGAGTGTCTATCCACATCAACGGCCTCATTTTGGGCTTCATTCATTCACGTCCAGGGTGCTCAATTCCTTCATAGGATAACTCCCTCCCAGAATCGGGTATAGAGGCATGGCAGGCAAAGGGCCACTGGTTGCGAACAGACGTTTTCTTTTTTTCCCTCCCCAAGTTCCAAGCATCTTCAGGTCCCGATCCCCCAAATGGTGACATTAGAGGGTCACATCCGCATTCATTATACCAGTTTAGACTTTTTCCCTCTCATTTTGCAGGACCAAGTGCTCCAACTGGTTCAAATCTCCTCCCCAACACACCACACGACACTAACTAGCAACCCCAGAAATTTTACCGGGGCCGGTTATCGCGGGGATGGCTTTCGTAAGCTCCAAACCTTCAAGGGCACGGCCGTTCGTGAAGCGAGGCCATCACCATCTGGACCACTCACCATCAACGGAGGCGCCCCTGTAGCGGGAGGCAAAAAGGCCAACAAGTCCAAACAGAACCATATCGAAACCCAAGCCTAAAGCGTAGGGTTCCTCCGTTGTGACCCTCCAGCTCAAGCTGCTATGGCCTCTCTCTCCCCTGCCCTAGGAGCACGCTAGGCTAAGACGTTATCAACGATCGTCAAAAGCTTGGCTCTTTGGAGAGGAGGAGTGGACGCTTGCAGGATCTGGGACCATCTAGAGTTTCGCCTATTCGATATCCCGAGAGATCTTGTGGTATCCCATCTCTGAACTATCTCTGTTTTTCGTCAAGGAGGTCCGAGATTACTCCTAGTGTGATTGATAGATAGTCATGGATATAACTGAGACCATCCATAACAGCTGATAGTTACTAATGGATCGTTCGTGGTGGTGGTGTTAAACCCGTGCCAGTTGTGGTTCATTTCGATTCGCCCGATGTTTTGAACCCTGGTACGAAAATTCTTTCCAGCAGCTCAGTTCGCCTTTCGATCTAAGGTGCAGCGAACAATTCGATCGGGAATAGTTTTGGGGTATGACAGTTTACGCGAAAGCGAGTTTAATAACAAACTCTACTTACTGATACCCCTGACTGCAAATCTTTCCTTTCCTCAAAGGGATGCTCGTGAATGTTAGTTTGTTTGTTATTCACAGTGGATTCTGTCCCATGAGTCTGGTACTGTACGTACCGATTGTGAGCCAAGCCAATGGAACCTTTTGGTACTAGAAAGCTGAGATTGAAATGGCTGGCTGAAGTTGGCTGAAGTTGGCTGAAGTCGGCTGAAGTCGGCGGCATACATACATAGTATATCCACGATTGTGCCAGACATATGCCGCAATTATCCCGTCATCAAACGTAAATCGCATGTATGTCTGGGATTCGCATCCAGTGAGATTCGTTTCTTTCTCTCTTGCAGGATCTCTATGACACCCTGACAGGGAATGATGCCCCTAGAGATAACAATTCACTGTCCTGCCCTGTCAGATTCTGTTCGGGTATCGGTATTGCATTGGATTGTAAGGGTTCAGGCACACACACAGACACACACTCACTCACTCGCTCACTCGCAGACAGTAAGCACACCAGGGCCAGGCACAAGAGATGCAGTCTTCGATTTGTTTTCAAGCCAACCTGCAGTAGCTTCACCACCTACAGGGCACCATCAGATGCACTGAGCTGGCTGACGTGGACATGGCATGACCAAAAGGGCATGACTAGCATATTCCTTTGTTCCTGTTGCGTGATGGGTCAACTAATCTGGCTATCTGTTTGATAACAACTGAACTGAAATCTCTGCAGCCGAGCGGCGTCTACCGGTGTCTCCTTTCAACTTGACCGACACCCTCAGCTTACCATCCGAAGACGGGCTGTCCATATCACTCACGCTGACACGCTAAAGCACCGGCTATTTCCAAGGGTCCAGCCGCTTCAAACAATCCTTGTTTGATGTCCATTAAACAGCATTAGTGAATCCCCTCAACGTTTCCCCGTCCCCATAAGTCGGACCGTCTCTAATTTTTCACTCACTGAGCTGGGGGTTCAAGGGCCGTTGGATGGCATCTGCACCTTAAAAAAAGAATTTCGGGGCCCTTGTCCAAAATATCGGGACCCGGGCATGAATCAGGTCTTCCGATTGGTGAACTGGCCCCCAGACAGGATCTATCCGTAGCGGACCGCCATTTGAACTGCGACTACGGCACGACCAACACCAACACCAGTGCAATTGGATGGCTGATGGATACAGTTTTGCCTCACTTTTGTCTTCCGGCTCCTCTCTTTGCTCTACCGTAGGGGACGTGCTCAATATGTCTCCATCGGGCTTGTTGCATTTTTCTCCCAAGGACGAGACCGGCCTGGGGGTCTTTGGTCCGAGTTGTCTGTCAGTGGAAAGCATCGGCCTGAACCGGCTGGAGGAGGTCTTTGTTTGTGTCCGGAGAGGACCAATTCAACTACACGTCCGGTAGACCACCCTGAATCATTGGACCAAAACATCCATGGCAGCGTGTGCTTTCTCATAGACGTCCCGAAACTGTCTCGCCATATAGGGTAAGGAAAAGTAGGTAGTTATCAATGAGTTGAACCGTTGTAATGGCAAGAATGTTTAGAAAGATGCAAAACTTCTATTGGAACTGGCTTCTACATTGGGTACTCTATGTACCATGTAATCGTTGTGTTCGAGTCTGACTACTAAGGTATCTGCCCTCGCTGTAATCGAACCAAAAAAAATAAGAGAACCTTTCCGGCTTCTGGGAGTTCTTGCAAGTCGAATCCTCAAAAAAAAAAAAAAATATAAAAAAATAATAAAAAAAGCAAGAGCGAACAGGTAGAAGTTCCGGCAAGGTCAAAATGTAAAGGGAAGGGAGAAGCGAGGAGCAGAACACCCACAGAAGGAACCAAGAGCCAGGAGCCATCTCTTAAAATCTGCTTCTCTGATCCTGTGAATGATCTGAGCCATTGAAAACAAACACCAAATCCATACTCACATATTCAAGTATAATGGACCTAAACAACCTCAATCCCAAGCATGTTACATATCCAATGAGGCTCGGCTCGGATGGAAAGTATCTGAAGCCAATCTTCGGCGAGGAAGAGATCCCAACGTTCCAAAGCGTCACACATATGGAGTGCTTCCCTTACCGGTATTGTTTCTTCGTCAAGAGCCTCCCCCCGCGTCCTTGGCCTCTCACAGTCAACGGACGTCCATTTACAATAACACCCAAGACTCCAGAAGACTTGTCCCTCACACCTATCAGGGGTAGCCATCAAAAAAGGTCCCAGGGAATGACTTCACTATTCCAAAATATCGAGTCTTAAGCATCAAACCCCGAGATATTTGTTGGGAACCCGGACCTACGTATTTGCGTCAACATCGATGCACGCCAAGATCCTTTCCAGGAGTCCTCGCTGCGAGCGATGGTTCGAGATGTAACTGAGATGTTTTCCAGTCATCCAGCCTATCCGAAAGTTATGGAGGTCATACTGACCATGGACCAAAAGATCGTGGTTAGCTTGGGCCGGGAGATTAATTTGAAGTCGAAGGCGAACCAGCTTCCACGCTACATTGCTTGCTGTGAAGTTACTTATACGGCGGTGGAAGATACTAGTCTCGAGCGATGGTCCGACTGGCACTCAAGACAGCTCACCGATCGCCGGTGGCCTGGTAATGCCCCCAAACTACCCCTATTCCCTGGAACGAGCGTTCGTGGTTCCCAAGGTACTGGGAACCCGGAAGGGAGAAGGAATGCACCGCACTTTGCAGTCAATGTATCTAGTGGCGTTCTCATCAAGAACCAAGAGGACCAACATATGATGACCACGGCAGCGCGTATTGTTCGCCCAGGAGAAGTTGTAGGAACGAGGGTGTTCTTCTTCCAAAACAGAATTGGATTGGCTGTAGATGTGGTCCTGGGCACAGATGTTGCTCTGGTAAAGCTAGACGATGCTATCAATTACAAGAACCAGGATGGGACTATGACATTTACGCGGCTACTGGGCGAGGACCCAGATGATGCGCTTCCATGGAACTCTATTGTCAGTCTTGCTACACGCTGGCCTCCTTATACTAAAGGTATAATCGTTGCAAAGTCAGTCAGAGTCGTGCGTCATACTGCCACTATTCACTATGGAGTCTACCACTGGGTTTGGACTGGCCAGCCGGGGAATGAAAAAGGACCGAACCCTGCGCCAAGGGACACAATGATTGGAGCTGCGGCGATCAGCGAGACCGGAGTTGTGACAGGACTGCTTCATTCCAATGAACACGGTCTTCGGGCAGGCTACTCTATCATGTTGAGTGCAAGTGAACTGGTGGATGCCGGTTACAGTTTAGTGACTTGAGTCCTCTGGCAAAGCACATAAGGTAAAAAAGTCATCTGGACAATGGGCTACTTAAGATGGGCAAACTGTTTCTCAATGTCCAGGTGAAAGGTTGAGAAGTGGTAGAGAAGTTTCGAAACCCCCCGATAGGGGAGATATTAACCTCGTTTCATGGGCTCAGCGGGAACATGAAGGCTAACCACCAGCCAGGTTCATTACAAAGCATCTCTATTCTCAGCGTTATCAAAATTTGTTGTTTAATCCAATCATGCTAAGACAGAAATGCTATTGCAATGCTTCCATCACTCGCTGTAGACCCAGATCAAGATACTCATCTGGATGGGAAAACACAATTCTGAACCAGCCTGGCTTCTCGGAACCAAAGGCTTTACCCGAGGCCAGAAAGACTCTCGTTTCAATCAATTTGTCCATGACAAGATCCGTGATATCGTCAGTCTCAATCTTTGGGTGCCGTGCCTCGTAAGCCTTGCCGAGATCAACCCATAAGAAGAAAGCAGCGTTCACACCGGGAGCGTAATCGATATTGTTCTTCACTGCCCAAGAAACGACCCGAGTGTATTGAGTTGAGAGCTTTCTTTGGTTCTCGGCCAAGTATGAATCGACAAAGGCGTCGTCCTCCAAAACGTTGGCAGTGATGTGGTCGGAGATGGAAGATACGGAGCTGTACAGACCAACAGCAACTATAGCAGCGTGGAGGGATGGGTTGGCCTGAGATATAATGGCCCCGACTCGGATGCCATTGGCACCAAAGTCCTTGGACATGCCCCATAGAACGTGTAGCCTCTCAGGGTCAATGATACCTGTAGTGTCGATGGAAAGAGCAGATTCGAAAGGAATAGGGGGAGGGTGTTGATCGACAGTGTTCGGCCAGACTGAGAGGGCGTAGATCTCATCGCTGATAAAGTGAGCCTGGTACTTCTGACACAGCTTCATGAAGGCAATGAGAGCTTTGCGAGAATAGCAACGTCCCAGGGGGTTATGCGGGTGACTGATAACTAGACCGGCAACCTTGATCCCCTTGGCTTGAGTATCGAGAATGACTTCCTCGTACTTGGTCACTGCCTCTTCACAGAGAGGATCGATGTCACCAAAGGCAACTGGGAGAAGCTTGGCCCCAAAACGATACGTAAGATCCGGTATAAAGGTACCATAGTAGGGTTGACCAAGCAATATCCCATCACCAGGGTTCGCAACCGCCCACGATAAATGCTCAATGGCAGCGCTACATCCGTTGGTCATGGAAATATGCGCTGGTTCAATATCGCGGAAAGGCTTCAGATGCTTGTTCAAGAACCTAGAAACGGCCTGTTTGGCTCTTTTAGTACCCGTGGTACCATCTCCGTAAGTAAAAGCCGGGTTGGTCAAGGCCAAGTTATCATGTATGTGTTTTCGTAAGACATCGTGCATGAGGGTATTCTCAGCCACCCCAAGACTCACGATACCACCGGGATTGGTATTTTGGTCGTAGAGATTGGTGATGACTTCCCACAAAGCCATCCCCTTGCATGCCTCTTCGGCTTCGTGGGCGCGATTTGAGAGTGCCATTACGTTTGACGGTGGCGTGTAAGTGTAGTGAACTGTTGTATTTCGAGAAAACATATGATAACTCTCCTCTATATATCGGCTGCCGAATTACTGTGGCTACCGGTCACCGACAGCCGCGTAGGACAACATTCATAAAAACCCCGATCGTGACTATTATGTAAATTCCCCTTGTTCACTTTTACATAAGGCGCGTAGGGCGTGGAATTTGGCAATTGGGTTCTTGATACTATCTCAAGGCGTCATGATCTCGCTTGAGTCAGATACGGCTTGGGTTCCCGCTGTGACATAGCCATATGACAGCACAAGGGCGCTAGAAACTTGGTGGAACAATGCATGTAACGACTTTTGTAAAGTGTATGATTTTTTTAGCTAGGGATTGATGGATCAATCTTTGTTTCCGTTATCGCACTGCTGTAAATTCGAAGTCGATAACTTGACGTTGTGCAGACACAAGTGCTCACCAATATACACACCCAGTTACTCAAGCATGTACCACGAAAAGACCCAAGATCGATAACTCGAAGTATAAATGGGGTTCGTAAGAGATATTAATCTTCAAACTACGACAAGTTATCGCGATGCAACGAGGAAACACGACGTAGGACCTAGTGAAATTAACGAGCCATAAATCAACAACTCCTTTTATTTGTGTGCCCCTATATTAACACTAATATCCTTTCCTCTATATCTTCCCTATTTCAAAGTAACAAGCTCTTCAGCGCTCGTGGGATGAATAGCAACACAGCTATCAAAATCGGCCTTTGTGGCACCCATCTTGACTGCAACACCAAAGCCCTGCAGCATCTCACCACTACCCAATCCCATAATGTGAAGACCGACCACCTTTTCCTCAGGTCCAGTAACAATCAGCTTGTAGTTTGTTGGTCCCTTCTGCTCAGGCTCCATCATGGCATAGTACATGGCTGTGAAGCTTGTCTTGTAGACCTTGATGTTGTCCTTGCCGTACTTCTCGATGGCTTGGGGCTCGGTGAGACCGATGCTGCCGACTTCAGGGTGCGAGAAGACGACTGAGGGGACGTTGCTGTAGTCGAGTTTGAGGTTAGCAAACTCGGGACCGCCGAACAGACGGTGTGCAAGACGGCGACCAGCTGCGATAGCGACTGGGGTCAGCTCAACTTCTCCGGTAACGTCACCAAGAGCGTAGATGTTGTCGACTGCAGTGTTTTGGTACTCGTCGACGAGGATATGTCCCTTCTCGCCAAGCTTAACTCCGGCCTCCTCCAGACCAATACCCTTAGTCTCAGGAGTGCGGCCAATAGCCCAGATCAGATTGTCGACATCGCTGACAACACTCTCGTTGCCCTGATCATCCTTGTACGTGATGGTAAGCTTTCCGTTGGAATCCTTCTCGACCTTGCTGGCCTGCGAGCGCTTGTGCAGCTTAACACCGAGTCTTTCATACTCCTTAGTGACGCTCTCCTGAATCATGGGATCGAAGTTTCGAAGGAAAGTGTCGTGGCGGATAAAGAGGTGAGTCTCCGTGCCAAGAGCATTGAACATGCCAGCAAACTCGACGGCGATGTAACCAGCGCCGACGATAGCAACCTTCTTGGGCTGTGTCGAGATATCGAAAAAGCCATCACTGTTGGTTCCATACTCGGCGCCGGGGATGTCAGGGGGGATAGTAGGCTTGCCGCCGACAGCGACGAGGATCTTCTTAGCGTTGACGAGGACCTTGGAGTTGTCGTCGAGTGTGACCTCAGCCTGGTTCTTGGAAACGAGGCGCGCCCATCCGTGTAGGTAGTCTACCTTATCGTTGTTGAGGTTTCGCTCGTAGATGCCGTTCAGACGCTTGATGTAGGCGTCACGCTTGGTCTTGAAGGTGGACCAGTCGAAGGGAGCGGTTTGTTCAACGGAGAAGCCATAGGCCTTTGCGTCGTGGATGGCTTCGGCGAGGGCGGCAGCGTTGTAAGTGACCTTCTTTGGCACGCAGCTAGGTTGCATTAGCGTAAATTCGTATTGCATATTGCATAGTTCATCGGTACGCACCCAACGTTCACACAAGTTCCACCGAGTCGCTTGTTTTCGACAATAGTAGCCTTGACGCCAAACTTGCTGCTGGCCATGCGCGCAGAGGCAAGACCTCCACTGCCTCCGCCGATGACGAGGTAGTCGGTCTCCTTGGTGATGGGAGCCATATTGCGCGCAGATGTAGAGAGATGGCGGGTAATTGAAGCTATTCGCAGCGGGGTCGTTCTCGAGGACGAAGACAGGGTTGATGAGCGTAGGGAGTGGGCTAGAGCTTGCATGAGGTTGCCTCGAGGCTTAACCTTTTGTAATTGGTATGGAAAGAGTGGAAAAGAGATTGGGAGGGGAATGACGTCTTTTAAAAGGGACCAAGATAGGACATTAGATGCGAAGGGACGAGAATGAGAAGTGGTAGGTAGTGGTTGTGGCGGGGTTACTTGATATTGACGGAAGCGGATTGGATGGACGTGATTTGAGAAAAGAGAATTGTGTTATTAAGACAATCAATGGAGGGTTGAGTAAGCAAACCGACTTCAGTTCAAGAATTGGTTGGTTGATATCAATGACGAGCTGCAGAAGAGAGATGATTTCAAATCCACCCGCATTGAGGATGATTTTTTGATCCCCGAGCCTAGGTAACTACAAGCTCCGTTAGCGGGGATGGTTGTTCACAGTGGAGGCCATGCCGAGCTCCAGGATCCCTTTTTGGAGTCTGACGATGGTGTCAGTTTCCAAATCAGATCAATGGGTATGGAATCATGTTTCAATTCAATTCGATACGTCCTCTTACTTGCTCAGTTCTACCTTAGTAGACTATGCTTCCAGAAATTCTGACATAAGCCTCGCATTAGGTTACATGGATTTCAGTTCCGAGGCTGATTACAAAGATAGAGGCGATACCAGACGTATTTGGTCGCCCATTCATGATATTATTTCATGGCACTCTGAGACTTTTAGCTATATCCTGAAATATTCAGTTTTTAGTCATGGCTGGGGCCACTATAGCCTGGTCACATCATAAACGCCGATGATAGTGTATCTCGAAACTCTTCTAGGGGAGGAAAGAAAACACAGGACCTCAATCCTAAATGACAAAAAGACTTAGGTAATATAGCCTAAGTTTAGGATAATTTTTGCTAAGTTTATTTTGACACCCTACAGCGAGGTTCGCTGTTTTCTTGCCCCCAAGGGCTCTTTCACTTCATGCTCGAGTAGGGCTGGATGGGCTATAAACTCTGTAGACCCCAAAGACCTTTAACGGGAATGATTGAACTTAGGTTAGGCTAAACTAGGCTTCACCAAGTCAAATGAGACATCTTTTGAGGCCTCGGAATCCATGGATGCACATGTAACGGGAAGCCTCGCATATGCATGCATATCCGGCAGCATGGTAGCACGACACCAAGTCTTACTGTCATAGAGTCTGGAAACTAGAATTGAATGTCAACCTTTAAATCTTTTAGTTTCCGTTTTCTTTAAGTATTTGTAGAGCCTTAGCCAAACCTCTCTCATGTGGCACAGATCATTCCCCCCTTTTTAATGGTAGATGCTGCATATATTCAAATTCATGTTCCTGGTATGTTGTGCAACGTAATGCTTTGGGGTGAAGTTTCTATAATAGACAAAAGCAATAGAAATAGGACGTTGAAGAACATGAGCCAAATCAAGCAGCATGCTATTCACATCATGGTGTTTTCTTCAGTATCATCCATTCGAGCGTCATGACGTATAAATGTGGGGCTTTGATATGGAGCTGAATATCGACAGCTTGAGCTTCGGTGGCCCTCCCCTCGTGGCTTAAACCCTTGCGTAGCCTGTGAGACTCTGGCGCGAGAGAGGACGAGTTTCAAACTTCCAGTGCGCCTCTAGCGGATGATTGCTTCTGTCAAGGTTCTTTATCCCCTGTCACGTCCCGCCGGCTTCTGGTTGGTTACTGGGCAGCCCATCACCACCTCTCATTTGCTGCGTTGCTCCCTCTCGACTTGGCACCAGCACCGACCAACCCCCCCATAATGGTCCAGCCCAGGCTGACGATACAATCTCCATACTGAAGCGAAGCACAATTCAACCTCCATCTTGTCTCCTCAATTACATATTCTCCACGCCCGTTATATCGGCTTCACTATCGATCGCTTTATCGGCTGTATAATCGATTACTGCGACCCATCACTATCGTATACTCGAGAACCTTAATATCTCTCCTGGCGCTATCGCGATCCATCGTCCGTCTCTACCGTCCTGAGCTTCCATAGCTCGTATACGCGATCATGGCGGCTGATGAAGGTACTTGAAGCCCACATCCAATATTCTCTATCACACAAAGCTGACAAACCAGCGCCAAACCTGAACCTCTCACCTGAAGAGAAGCGCACTTATGGACAACTCTTCCGACAGGCCGATTCAGACAGCGTCGGTGTCGTTGTCGGTGAAATTGCTGTCAGGTTCTTCCACAAGACAGGTTTAGACTCCCGTATTCTTGGCGAGGTAGGTTGATGATATAAATGATCCTCCTACTGACTTGAAATCAATGCTGATACTCGAATTAGATCTGGCAGATCGCCGACAAGGAGAACCGAGGTTTCCTAACACCAGCTGGCTTCGGTATCGCCTTACGACTCATCGGACACGCACAAGCTGGCCGCGAGCCCACACCCGAGATCGCCCTCCAACAAGCTCCCCTTCCTCGTTTCGATGGCATCGTTCCTCAAGTTACAGGTGCCGGTGGTATTCCTCCACCTCCGCCTGTTCCCGTCGGCTCGCCGCCTCCCCCGGCCGCTCTTCAAGCCCAGAGCACCGGCGGGCCGATCCGCATCCCACCCCTGACTCCTGAGAAGGTCGCTCAATATAGTGGTTTATTCGAACGTCAACCTCTTCAAGGCGGTCAGCTTCCCGGCGACCAGGCCAGAACCATTTTTGAGAAGTCCGGCCTACCCAATGAAGCACTGGGAAGAATATGGCAGCTTGCCGACACTGAGCAGCGTGGTGCTCTTGTTCTGACCGAGTTCATTATC